TATATATATGTATGTATGTATGTGTATATATATATATATATATATATAAGAATGTGCCGAAATTATCACGTTTTATTTCTTTCGAAAAGTTGGCGTCCAATTTTTCTCAGCAAAAATTTAATTGATTTTATATTATACTATATTTATATTATACTATCATTTTAATTTTTAATATTGAATATATTTTTTATCGATGAAAATGATTAAATATTCAATACAATTTAAAATAGATTAGAAAATTGTTTTTAAAATTACGCTCTGCGAATTGGAGTCATTATGAGAGTCATCAATTTCGATATTTTGAAACAATTATTTTCTTTGTTTTAATATTTGTAACCGAGAAAAAAATGTGATAATTTCGACACATATTGTTTATACAGTCAAAATGATCATTGAATTCTCATCACCACGCTCATCACCACCTTCGCTGGTTGCGACAATTTTTGCAGAAATTTGACAAGTCGTGGTATGTAATCGCGTGTAGCACATTATAACTTACTCACGGACACTGATTAAATAGTATTAAGTATTAATAAATATTACATTAAATGCTAGTTCTGCGATTATGTCTTTCTCAGAGATTTCGTCGAAAGTTTTGCTTGTTAAAGAAAATCAAAAGGAATAAATTATTTGATCAAATAAAAGTTACCATTCTTTTGATAATCAAAAAGTAAAATAAATTAACCATTTTAGGAATGAAAACTTAGCGCTGGGTCGATAATGTTCAAATCAAACAAATTTAACTGTCTTAAAAATGATTTAAAGTAGATAATTTTTTTTCTTTCTTAATATCGATAATAAATTTAATTTACTATGGTCGCATATATAATAAAAATCGATTTGTCGATGTCGTCGAAGAAACTGAGAAAAACGATTACCGGCGTGATCATTTTGCGCTCGCTGATTAATTAGGTACATTAGAGAATGCCTATCTAAATGGAGCGCGGCCGGAAATGGGGCTACGCGCGAAACGTGACATGCAACGACATTTAATGCAATTAGAATTATTTTATACACGCTAGCGCTATACGTATATATATCTTTCGATGAGATTCGGTAAGGATCGCCACACATTTTGGCATTGAGTCTTTCGGGTTGTACTCCTCGCGTCACGATTCAACTTCACTTGGTGTTATCAATTAATAAGTGGTAGTGGCATCTTGGACCGGTAGGCCTTAAAGACGATACAAACGCGCGCGAATGCGTGTACATGTGTCTGTTCGTATGTGTGTAAAGATTTCCGCGCGAGATTGGAGAAAAGAGCGGGGCCTCAGTCCCCGAAGGAAATACAATAATACTCGCGACGTATTCGTCGTCTTTCTCTATTATCAAATACACACATATATTTATTAATCATAATAAAAGTCAGCGCTATTCTAGGCTACTCTAGAGTCACCTATTAAGCAATAAAATTATATACATATCTACTACTCTTATTCTTTCCCTATTAACGACAATGCATGTAGAAAAATGAGCCTCTCGCGTCTTTGGTTAAACGCGAAGCATTTAGAAAGTAGTCTGGCAGTGGTTTCGTAGATGCTTCGACCTTAGCCTCGGACCAAATTTTGATTCTCATATTTTTATCTATTTTTTCCCCTCCCTCTTTTTACTTTTGTTCTCTTTTTCGTTTTAGCTGTCGGTTGCAAGAAATTGAATCGAAGTGACGTTTACTCGGGACTCGTGTTATTGAGCTACAGTTTTTGTACCGGCGATTTCTGAAAGATACCAATACAATATGCTTTGCCCGGCGAGCTCGGATGAGCTCGACAAGTTTGTCGAGTTTAAATCTGAACAGTCTGCTGCCGTATACGACGCCTTCGATGCGTACGTACCTGACACAAAAACCCGCGCGTTCTACGTTCGGAAATTCATTTAAAGAAAATCTATCCTTTGGCATCATCGCTTTTGGCTTCATTATTAAACGACGATCGGTCGTTACGGTCCGTATAATTAGTCGGTTTCAATGAAACTTCGTCTTCCGTGTTCAATATGAACGATCATCGTCATCATCTTCTTCTCTTCAATGACTTTCAGAGCGCGCAACGCAAGTGACTGCGCAGACAATGGCACAAGAGCAGTATGTTCCTTAGGGTAGTGTCGTTTAGGTCACTGAGAAGTAAACTAGAGCTCTGCTTCCGCAAGGCAGCGGCATCAATTCCCGTCGCTTCAGTTCACGAATAGATGGTTATTACCTCTCGTCCACTACCCCGCACCATCAATACTCGTTCCAAGCCTTCGGTGAGCACCTCGAGGAATTCCATATCTGATTTTCGGCAGTCAAGAAAAATTAACAATTTCCTTTTATTTTTGTTTTTCCCAAAATCATTAATTTTTACTCGGAAATTTATTCATTATTTACCAGGTTGCAGCTAATAATTTATTTAAATAATGTACTTTTACGATCAAAAGGATACAATTAGATTCACGCTCCATCTTCGTGTCCCGTGGCGGACCAGGAAGATTTAGGATGACTAACTGAGCCTCACTGCTCATCTTGCGGATTACTTCGTTCAATTTCAACGAAGTGTGCATACGTCTCACGTCACCCTCGTCGCTGTTATAAAATTGATTATTAAAGAATAAATATCGACATCAAAATCAAGAAAATAATCGCAATACTCACGGTGTAATTGTAGGTTTCTTAACCGGACTTTGATTTTTGTTTTCCTGAGCTGCATTTTCTTTCGCCTCCATTGCTCCCTTTGCCTCCTTCTCAGTATTCTCTCTGTTTTCCGCCTTGGGCGAGCTACTGATTAGCTTTGATTCTTCGTCATTGTTCTCTTTAACTTCGTCCTTTTCATTTAGCTCCTCAGCAACGTCCTCCTTGTTGTTTAATTCGGTTTCCATTAGCTTCGTATCGTCGGTCACATTCGTACTTTGATTACCCGGCTCCTGGAATCTCACTTTCGTCGGCACTTTGGCATCCACGTTGTGATGGTGATCTACGATCGCCTGTACCTGTATAATAGTAATACCATTGAGTGAATAAGCAAACACTTTATTCTGTGCAGCAGGATGGACAGTCGAGAGGTGACTAATAATCTAGCATCAAAGCACTATGATCATAAATCAATGCTATCTATGTAAGCGATCGTGCCAATTAAGCTGAAACTGGGAGTCGCGAGGAGTTCCTGAGATTATGATGGACAGGAAGAAATAAACCGACGTGGTCGTTTAATAAAATAACATAATATCTAAGAATTGTTTCTTAAAACAATTTTGATTTTCGAAAGTTGGAAAATACAAAACAGAAAATTATCCCCTATCTCTTAAATTATTTATAATTTATTTTCACAGAATATTGTTTGTTATATTCTTTAGAAAGTCATATTTTAGAAATTAGAAATTTATTTTTACTTTTAACTTTAATAAAACGTTTCTAATTTAAACTGACGTTTCCTATAATACCAAAGAATTTAATTTACTATATTTATAAAATATCAACTCTCTCTTGATCCGCGGCAGTTTCTTCTACCTTAATATTACTGGGAATATAATAATAAGACTGTTATGTGATATCATGAGGAAGGAAATATAACACAATAAAACCGTCGGTGCAATGGAGCAATGATGGGAGAGAGGCATACATGGAACTCCGGGGGTAATCTGACAAACCAGAGGTAATTTTTCCTCGGCGGGTACCTCGTTGAAGTCCACCAATGACTGCACCTTTATCCGTGAAGAGCACGCAACAAACAGACACACACACCGATCAGTATCACCGTCACCATTTCTTGTTACTTAGCATTATATGCCTGTACATATTACAGTAATCAATTTTCCCCCTTTATCCACGATTTAATACTCACCACTCCAAGTGATTGCTTCTTATTTAATTGCAGCTCGCGTAGCATCTGGTTTCTTTGCTCCATAATTAGAGTGCGTTCGTATGTGTACGCGGAGATATCGGTATTTGTCTGCAAACAGATCAACAGATTACGAAATATAAATTTATCAAAATATTCGCGTTATTATGCATATTTCGTCGTTAAAAATTTGCATTGCGTTTCATTCATCTTTAAGAAATAAAATAGAAGAAAATTTTCTAATAAATTTAAACTTTTTTTTCGAAATTGTAGAATCAAATTACCATTTCGACAATCTCCACTTCCGCCTCGATTCTCAAGTCATACAAAAATTTCTTCAGATCCTTCTTCATTTGTATTGAATTGTCTTCCATCTGCGCAACTGTGAAAATTCTCATCTTGCAGTTCTTCCAGGTACGATGTTGTTTCAGCAGGAACGGTAGTAGCATCAATAAGCCACCGTCATGAACAATCCACCAGACATCAATGTTGCCAATAATCTTTTCGCTGGAATCTGGGAAGAAGTTTATGCCTTTGGGTACCAACAATGCCATTTTTGCAGCCGCAACGCTCCTCACAGTCTGCAAAAAGACTCGCCAGGTTCTTTCCTCCTCCGATTGTCGCCAGCCGTACGGCCATCCCAGTATCACTGTATTAGGCTTTAAGCCGCCAAGCCCGGTATTTTGTATCAGTGAGCTCAGCCCTTCGACAACATTCTTTGCAACGAGAACATCGACGAAACCTTTCACTCTTTCTTCCGCCGCGGTCTTCTTGAGACTCTGCTTGGCTGCTAGCGCTTCACCCGAATTCTGCGTATAGTCACCGGGGATACAACTGACACTGATAGTGAGACCCTTACCAGCCTTGAGTTGACTGGCAAAGGCAAAGAGCTTGCGATACTTAGGCACCAAGTCATCGGTAAGTTTGGCGAGGATCAAGATCTGTGGGCGCCAGTTCTTCGTGTGCGGTGGACCCTCCTCGAGCCTGAGCAACGAGTATCTGGCAGCGGACAACGCTAGACCGCGAATACCGTCACCCCATTCCTTTTCGGCGCCGCGATACTCGATATATTTATAAATGCAGCTAGCCATACCCATTGCCAGCAGTGCGTAGTACCAACTAGTCATAAACATGATGGCGATGCAGAGAGCCAAGCCGAGGAACGACAGGCTCCAGTGGTAATATTTGAAACGTGGCCGCCAATTGGGTGTGCGTAGCAGTGTTTGCAGGGCACAGGCGAGATTGACGAAACCGTAACACATAAGGAAAAACATAGACAGCAATGGTGCTAGATAGTCCACGTTGCCGAGCAGGATACCGCCCTGGCAAATCAAGACAGTGAGCACCAAAGCGCGAGTAGGTTCGCCTCGACTGGAACTGGTTGCGAATGGCGTTAGGAAGGGAATGATACCGTCCTTAGCAATCGCCTGTAGCAATCGCGGCGCTCCTGTGAGAGATTGAAGGCCAGCACCCAAAGTGGATAAGAATGAGCCGATCAGGATCACCCACTGATTCGGCCAGGCCATGTTCGCTACTACCAGCTTGCCGCCGATACTCTGCCCGAATTTATCGCGTAGCAGCAAATTGTCAACAGTGCCGGCAAATAGTAGGACACTGGACAGATAAACCGTGGAAGTCGTCACGATTGCGCAGATCGTGCCGATTGGAATGGATTTTTGGGCATCAGCCAGGTCACCGGATCGGTTGGAACCCGCCATAATACCTACACATTAAATTCAGTATCTTGTTAGTTAAAAATAAATATCGTAACGTTAATTAAAAGTTGACGAGGTTTACATCGAATGCAATAAAAAGATGAATGTAACACTATATTAAATATGTTAATGTTTGCATTTGCTTACCTGTAACGGAAGGAAAGAATATACCGATGAGAATAGTGAAGGTTGTAGTGAGATCGACCTGGACCTGATTGAAGCTCGATCCCGACAGAACGTCGATGTCCTTCGGATCATGTCCGTAAGCGATTAACTGAGCCTCCTCTTGGAAACTGTCCCATATGTTCTCTGCGTGGCAAAAAATAGAAAACAGAGAGTATCCTCCATATTTTTATTTTATATTGTTCTTTAATATTTCTGATACAATTAAATTCTAATCTCACCTAGAAATACACCGCTCGCCAAGCCGCGAATACCGTTAACAATGGTAAGATTGTTCTCGAGGTAATATCGGTCGCATCTCGTGCCGTTGCAATAAATATTATGTAAAACGCCGCTGACGTTTTTATTACAATCGGTTAAAACATTGAGATCCTTTAGTAATCTTCTGCCAAGTATACATAATCTAAAACACAAGTATATATAAGTTCTTTAAAACACTCGATCTTTTTTGCTTTTTCATTCATTCTCATTTATAATCACTTATCGTCGTATTATTATAATTGTCACGATATTCCGATAGTAGTAATGACTGCATAATGGGAAAATTAGTATCGTAAATAAGTTTAGTTACTTGAGAGCCTCGCTCCCGTTAAAGTTTACGAAGAGCCCCACGTAAACAGCGAGGATGGATAAAATGACGCAGGCCAGTGCGACGGTGGCGAACTTGTTAACAAACTTTACGCCCACAAAGACAATCGTGCCCATTATCATCAGCAAGACAGTGCCGTACACTCGAAAGTTGTTGTACATAATGTTCGCGTCTTTCGTGAAGTCGCCGAATATGCTGAGCGACGGCGCCATATAAGTCTGCACAGACGTATCGTAAAGTTAACGAGACAGAAAAAAATGCAGAGTCCTCTTGAGTTTTTACAAAATCATATAAAATTCTATCGCAATATAATATTTAAAATGCAATAAATTGCATTTTTTTATGTACATTGGGAGTTCCACATAATCGTTACATAATCAATCAAAGTGAGATAATTCTCACGTTAATCTTAAACGTGACGATTATGAAATACCAAGATAGTCTCTTTTTATTAGAAGCGAAGTATAAGTTAATTATCGTAACCAGTTAATTAGGAGAGCTACGATTGACACGTTGTAACATTGTTAACTGATCGATACTTACGAGGACGATCTCGACGGCACCGATGATGTACATCGCAGCAGCCAAGGTGGTACCGGTGTAAAACAGCATACCCACCGCGCCGCCGAATTCCGGGCCTAAGCTTCTCGAAATCATGAAGTAGGAACCACCGGCCGGCACCACGCCGTTGGTGGCGATGGCACTCATGCTGATTGCTGTTAGCATCGTCTACGCAAACGAAGAATAATCATAATTTGCAATCGGTTTTACGTTCACCGAACTCGCGAAAAGTTATTCGTCTTCAGTCGCTAAGATTTCAAAAATTAATATCCCAATATCTCTAAATTTCTCAAATCAACTTAAACTTCTGCTATTGATGAACGAGATATTAATAAAATATTATATTATTGAATTTCGCATATCCTTAAACTTGTATGGTTTCAAATTTTTTTTTTTCACGTTTCTGTACTTTTATACATGCGCATAATATGTGATTGAAATTTTGATTTGCAGTTAGGAGACGAATACTCACAACGCAACAGCAGCAAAGCACGATGAAGAAACCCTGAATGGCGCCGGCTGTGCCGACTACCCATGTCAACCGGATAAAGAGGATCACGCCAAAGATGTTCTGGATACACGGCAAGTAGACACCTATGAGAGTACCCATCCGCGCCCACCCCCGCAGGCGGGGCTGGTTTGTCCGGATCAGTCGCGGCAGGGATGGTGTTGCTATAGTTGGCCAAGCTGTTGAGCAACGTCGAGATTCGCGGCCGATCCTCCATCTCCTCCTGCAAGGATTCACGATGTGATATTTTCATCTATCGTATGTAACTACGTATCGTATGTAACTCGATATGAGACTTGAAAATAAAATTACGTTTTTCACCCCGAGCGATAGTTATTATTTTTTCTTCCTTCTCTAGTAGTAATATCCTAATGACAACACATTTTAATTAAAAAGTTCTCTCTTGTGGAAAAAAATGCGATCTTTTGCTGTACATTCCGTTAGCTCAATTATTCTATTCGACATTTAAGGAATATAAGCTTCGTATTTGCCAATCATGGCTGATCATATATAAACTCTTACTACTTCTGTCTGCACGGTCACGTACAAACTTTTGCTACTTTTACCCAGCTGTATATATATATATATATATATATATATATATATATATATATATATATACACACATGTTTTTTCATTTTCGTCTGATCGTATACAGATTTTGTTATCGAACAGAATACAGAAGAATCCTGAGATGAATGATTCCTCTCACCAGTCGTAGACTCTTATCACTCGCCCGCTTGTTCCTACGGCAAGAATCGCAACCCCCGTCCGTTGTGGTATCCAATAATTTCTCATATAAGGTTTCTTATTATGCCGAAAGGGACGTCACAACCTCATTTGCAATTTTATTGACAAACTTTTGCGGGAAAGTGTCGCGTAACTCCGTCCGCCGGGACGCTTTTATGGAAATTGTTACTCCTTTGTCATGTAAGTTCTCGCTGCAACCTCGTTACAACGATATTACACATTGTCGATCTAATTTCGTAACGATTCCTTTTCACATCGGGCATTCTGATTGCGTGTTACACGGATTTGCAAATAAGATTATGTTCGAATATAATAACGTAGTAAAAGAGAAAAGATTTTAAAGAATACAAACTAGAAAGATCGACGCGACAATTTTTTTCTCACGAAATTGTAATATACTCTAGATCTATCTTTTTCGTGATGTATCTCTCTAATTTTTTTTATCTTTGCATGTCACACTTTTTTATAGCAGGCAATTTAGTTAAAGCTCCGATTCGACGAATGAGATCCATAAATTCACTCTTTCCCCCTCTGTGATCTTGATAAAATTTGACAAGTTCGTAAAGTGAATAAAATCATAACTATTTTCAGGTACAAGTGTGTAAATTACTCTTCAAAATTCCGCTCCATCTCTTTTCCCTTTTCAGTTGTAATTTTCTTCGTCGGGAATGATTTCTCCTGAGATTTACATGCGCGATAAAAATGTACCGCTATTACACCTTCTCAGGTTTATCTTCAATTGCGGTGTTCGGTCGAGTTAAACGAGAAATACGAGAGGGTTAAAGTCGCCGTGGAGCGAATTATCGGATTCGAAGGAAGAAACGGGGCACAATACTCATCCCGCGCGCGGTTCATAGCTCGACAATGCAATTTTAAAACGCAATTTTAAACAGAACTAGGTAGATAAGGAAACTGGGCTGGAAGCCGCCAGCCGCTCTCTTACGGTTAGAAAAGTAGTAGAATCCTTCGTTAAAACTCTAAGAAGGAACGATGACAAGAGGGAGGAAAAGAAAGGGCTTAGCTCCTGAGAGTATGGCTTAACTTTCGTTATAAAAGAACAGCGATTCAGAAAAGGATTCTTAGCGGTCGCGAAATTTCATTTTGTTTTCTCAGAATTCCAAAATGCAACACGCTATTGAGGAAACTGCAGCTGTCGCAAAAAATGTAATTTCGCAAATAATCCTCTTAACTTTACGGCGAATCAGTTTTCAGCAAGGCTGTTGTTCTGTTCGTAAACCGCGGTTTTTTTTTATAATTACAGAATACAATAATTATTACACATTAACCTTTTTATAATTTGTATCGGAGCAGATAATCTTTTTTAGAGAAGAATCCAACGGCAGGAAAATGATTAATAAACATGACATTAAAAGTTAACGAGTTCAAGTTATGCATATTTCTTCTTCTTTTTTCCGAGATAGACTTAGAAATCTTCCTTTTTCTTTAAAAATATGCGCTGACTTTTTAATTAAAATAGGTTTATGTTTTAAAGTATAACTTCGCGAAATGAGATTTAATTTGTTACACTTACACTGTAGAGATATAGATTGGTCTCATATCCCGATCTTTTCTCGGAATTGGTACCGCTGACAATAGGATCGCCATCTCCGCCTGCGCCGCCTCCATCGCCTGGAAGTAAGAAAACATAATTAATTATTCACTGTTTTGTCTGGATTTTAAAGTTCTTTAAAAAAGAAATTATTCTACCTTGAAGTTTCTACTGTTAATGGCATATTAAGGATGTTCTCGAGAAAATTAGCGTCTTTTTGCGAAAGACTATATAAAAGAAAGCATTTAATTACCTATTTAATGATTAAGTTTTATTTTCATCATTTTTTTGTTATATTTTCTCTTATATTTTTGTCTTTTTTTTTCGTTCAATTCCGTTTCCTCGCTCATTCTTATGTTTCGCGAATAATTTGAGCTAATAAATATGTTTTCGCAAAAATCCATATGTTTACTGTTACTTGCTGAATATTGCGTAATTAATAAATACTCGTCCTGTGACATACATTGCGAAAAATGTACATCATTACGCGAAAATCTGACAATTGAACTAATGAGAGGGTCGTTCGTGAGATACTTAAACCCTCTTAGGGTACTTAGAGAGAGTCATAACATTTACAACTGTCTACTTGATGGTCCATATGACATTACGTCTACTTTTATGACCATTAAGTATTAATTGTTAAGCCATTATATGCTCGTGAAATGATGTATAAATAGGTCCGGTGACAACATTAATTTTTATCGCGGTCCGACAAATGCGTTGGAAACTTGAAGTGCGCAACGACAAAAAAAAATATGAAAAATTTTTATAAACTTGCGATTATACGCGATTGCTTTAATTCTTGTTTCTACGTTCGGTATTCGGTATTTAAAAGATTGTCGGCTATTTTAAAAAAAGCGGGTTATATTTCACATATAATTTCGCTTACGTTACTCGGGCGTATTTTTTATTTTACCACGTTCGCTTTCCTCACACAATATTTCGTAAGCGAAAAGAAAGCTGTAGATTGGCGAGAATCTAACGACATTGCGATATCGTTAAAGGGGCTAACTTCCAATGTAGCATCCCGCGATACAAATGGCAACGTTCCAACTGGCACGTACGATCGTTAATCGACCTGACAGAATTTTTATCAACGCGAATTCAGAGTCGGTCTCGCGAGGAGAGCTCCGGTCTCTCGGCCCATTCGTCTTTCTCAGCGAATCTCGATCCTCTCTTGGTATTCCATCAAGACGTTCATTCCAGTAGAGAGATATTTCTTATCCAACTCGAAAGAACCGCAATACTCGAATATAGAATTTGCCATATTTTCTCCGATTGATTTATCGTTTCCCAGGGGACTCAGTTCTTTCTTTAGAAAACACGCACGTCCATAATGTTCGAATTATAAGCTCGAAAGATAAAAGACTCAGTGAATAACGTCGAATTCTTCAAAATAAAAAAAAAAAAAAAAATAACATAAATTCAAACAAGAATAATTTTTTCAGAGATAAGCTATTGTTATAAAATATTTTACGACAAGTTTCTAAAGATACAAAGTTAACAAAAAGTAATATATGAAACTTCTAATAAAAATATGCGAATACATATTATCTCTTGTAAATTTATGAATTTTAATAAAATTACGTCACTTAAGTGAGCAGTTTTTCACTTGTAAAGGCGGAAGAAATCTGGGAAGGATTACCGTAAGGATGAAGCTGGGAGAGCGAGCGAGAAAAGAATGAGAGGATGGCGAAGCGGATTATACAACCATTCTTACGTCGACGAGGAGGTCGGCGTGCTCCTCACTTGGTAGTCATGAGAGAAGGCTCCTCTTATGCTCGTCTACTTGAGGAGCTTCAGCGTGACATATCAGAGCCGCAAAATTTGCCCTTAATCTACTTGCGAAACGGAACGGACGAATAACGCCGACAATAAAATGCATTATGCGATGGACATTACGCGATGAAGGTAAACAAGACAATAGCTCTTGGCCGATAGAGATTTGTAGTCGCCAGTTTTCTCAGAATCGTTCCGTGGATTAAATGCCAAATTTTTGAAAAATTTAATGTTCCATATTCTATTTTAATTGCACTATGACGTTAAAAATATATATTTATATGCACGTACATATGCGCGCTTAATGGCTGGAAAAAATTAATTTATCCTTAGCATGGTTTAATTAAAAATGTTTAATTAAAAATGTATCATCTTACCCTGTAAGGGCAGGGTAATTGAAACCGTCGGTTACATAGACACGACGGATAAAATTTTTCGCAAATAAAGTTGCATAATATTGACAAACTCCAATTACTTTTGGTCTGCAATATCCAATTTGTAACCCATCAAAAGGATATTACTAACTAAATATAAAAACGATTGGGTACCATTTATCAATGTGTATTAACGCGAATATTCATCTTGTAATATTTAACAGTGGCTTTATCGGGGAATAAATTTTATTATTATAAAAGTAGTATCCTCCCATTTGCGGTCTGAATCACCGTGTTTTATCTTGCACGATTTCCGCCAGTTTTATCGGCGGTGTAACGTAACGGAAAAATGTAGAAATGGTAGAAAAGACGACGAGGCAATAGGACTATGCGAAGTAGGTCGATGGTTTCACGCGCGATGCAATGCCAAGGCTTCTCTGGTACGTGTCGGAAGTAAATATAGAGCGAGAGAGAGAGAGAGAGAGAGAGAGAGAGAGAGAGAGAGAGAGCGACAGCGCACAGAAGTAAAATAACAGGCGGCTAAAATGCATCCGAGGGGAAAAGCCGAGAGAGCTGTGTGTCTCGATTATTGCTGGATGCTTCTTGGCTGTTGTCTACTAACTTGGCTGCGTGTTACGCTGATCTCCTTATCTGAATCCCTCGCCGCGAATTTCCCATCGGGTTCTTCCCTCCCCCTCCCCCCTCCCGCCGTCTCGATGGCTATATCTTTCGTGACGTTGCCTGGAACCGAATCTCGTTCGCGAATTCCGCGCCTAAGATAATTTTTGAGACGACTTTATTGGCAGCAGGGGGAACCTCGCTGCGATCCGGGGTCCGCGAATCTCTCGGTCGGAATCCGCTCCCGCGAGAGCGACGTGATCGAGAGGGAGATTTCGATTCGCGCGATTCGTTTCCGCCGCTTGTCGCGGCACCGCGGACGAGGCTCGGAGGAGAAATAGGCAGCCAACGCTGTCCGATCGCATAATCCGTAATATTTCATCTCTTCTCCGTGTACGTGTGTACGTGTACGTGTTTCGCCGCATTTTATTTTCCGCTCCTTCTGATATTTCGGGCACTTGAGTGAGGCGGAGTTAGACTCACGTCTCCATTATTTAAATGGAATATTGGATACTCTGTGGCTTAGGCACCTGGCTATTCAAATGTCGATATTAATATCGCACGGTATATTAAGAGCTCAATATCGTTATCCAATATATACCGGAATCGAATCTCAATATTTCATTTCAAGTTTACGTGCACAATAACGCAACATTTACTCAAAAAAGAAAAAGAACATGGAGTAAGAAATTAACATCAGCCCCGCGATACACATGTACAACGGTGTACGCTGTAGCAAATCTTTTTACTTTCATTACTTTTCATTTTCACCGTTCTTTTATCTATTTACAAGCTCTCCATTCGCACGAAAATAAAACGAGACGGATCTTTTCACCGACTCTGTACGAGCTCGACATGTGATTGCGTTAATTTTTAATTACTACGAGTAACTTGCGTAAAAAATGGTTCGTTCGTTTCACATAAAAAAGAAGTTCGGACGTGATATTTCTATGTTAAAGGATTTTCTAGTACGATAATCAAAGGATGGAGCGAGAAAGAAAAGAGATAAAAAGAGCGAGCGACGAAAAGAGAGAGAGAGAGAGAGAGAGAGAGAGAGAGAGAGAGAGAGAGAGAAGGAAGAGAGAGTA